TTAAAATCATCCTCTTCTAATTAAAAACTGCTGTATAATCATTTTAGTTTACTTAATATGTATTTCTACGTTTGTTTATAAAACGTTATAATTCACTCACAATTGTTGCAATTTTATTAATCGAGCTGATTGCCATGAACCGATTACGTAATTTTAATATGGAATTGTATGAACTTTTCTATCTCGACTTAATTCGCCGACTGTCGAACCACCTACGACGTAACTTCGTTGTATTACTGTATATGGAATGCAAGATTGCTATGAAAACATGTACGCAATAAATAAATAAAATGTATAAAACGGTTTATTTATACACAACACAGGCAATTTGATTAATCAGTTGACCAAGTAGTACCGACGTTACGGCTCGTCTCTCACCAACCTTCTGATTTCTGCAGTTGTGTCTGATGTCCGGAGCTGTTGTTACACTTGGAAACAGAGATATGCTTTTGGTCCACAGTACTGCAAGGTAATTTTTCGGTAACAGGCTTGGTAAGGTTTGTCCAATCTGTGCAGAGTTCGTATCCTTTGCCCGGTTGATATTTTCTAGGATTGGATCATTAGGATTTCTTTGATCCAACCTCTCGGTTCCGAGTCCGATTCCCGGCAGATTGTGAGCCACCTCAGTTTAAAAAATCCTTGGAATTCTTCACAAATTTGCGTATCATCCTTGCTCGAAGGGCATATTAATCTTCGTTGTATCGTTCCAGTTTTAGCATATGTCCATGGAATGGACACTGACGAATACGCATAGTAATAAATGTCACGGAAGGTGGTAATTGAGGCATGTTAGTAAATGCAGTAGTAGACGGTGCTTAAGTACACCAAGACCAGATTTCACGGTTTACTGTATGTCCCCTTGCTTCTAATTGCTCACTGGTCAGGCGCGCCTTGCATTATTTTGTTCAGTGATTGTAATGCTGGTATAAATTATGCTGTACGATGCTTCTTTACTCGTAGTTGTCATCAAGCATAGTCATTGCCTGAGTTTTTTCTTGCTTTACCATTAGTTTTATCTTTTTTTGCGGTAGAAAATCGCGTATAGCTCGTTTGTTTGGACTTGTCTGTTTTAGTGGTTAGTATTTTTCTACTAACTCTGGGTGTTGCTCATCTTTGTTTGTGTACCCCAGCCCCTGTCACTGTTACTTCAAAGGTAAAGTAAAAGACAGTAGAGTCAAGTGCTTCAATGAATGGCCCAAATTTTATCTTTTTTCTTTATCAAAAGCATTTTCGAAAAACAAGTACCGGAATCGGATTTGAGTCAAGACCTGCTAGCCTTTTGAATTGTTTTACTGCTGTTTTTGTTTAGTTCAACGATAAGGTGTGTTCGATTCAATCAAGTGTTGTTTCAGATAGCGTCGACGCGTTTCAGCGAGGAGTCGATCTGGGTATGATGATGGGTCGCCATCTGCTGTACAAGGAAATTTTCGCCTGGTTGCGCTGTTCACCGTCGTCGTTCGTTCAACTGAAAGAGTTAGAGAATTTTCTGTTGCTGCGAGCGTTCTGCTCGAAACCGTTCGTCGTCGGCAGCGGCGGTGGCAACGGCGGCAGTACAGGGGTCATTGGCGGTGAGGGCGACGCGATGACTGCCGCCGTGGTCGGAGGTGCTGGCGGCGGCAGCTTGGGCAGGGTGGAGCCGACTGAGTCTCTGCACATGTTCCACGAGGCGTTGAACACGCCGCAGGATCTCAACATCTTCTTTGAGGAAGCGTGCCATAGAAACGGCAAACGTCGGTGCCCCCAGTCGATCGATGACGACGACGTGAGAAGAAAACTGCGACGACTATAACCTAATCATCAGCAACGGCACCAGCAAGAAGTAACAACGCCTACTCTATTCATCATTAACGTTACCAACAGGTTGTCAGCGATGGGCGCTCGACCGACCACCAGCCGGTCAGTCGTCGTCGGTTCTCCTCCCGTCTGTCGCAGAAGTTGCCGTTGTTTTTTGTCGTCCAGCAGCACACGTTTTGACATCGTGCGATGGATTCTTTCCTGCAGCGATTGTCACATGATTTTTTTTTGGAAAAATCTGCTAGACCCTTGTTTGCTATCGACATGCTTATGGCCATTGGAGAATTTCATGTTCATTGTGAATTACTACCACTTTAAATAATTAACATTATTCGAATGCGATGAAGACGTGTGCTGATTGGCGGCGTCACCTGTTTTTCGTCCTCAGTTCTGTTCACGGCATTCTTTGTTTTTTCTTGACGGTATCATAAGGTTTACTTCGTTCATTACGTATATTCATTGCTTTGCATTGCTCGTTAGCAGTCGGTGCCATTTACATTGGTTTGTATGCGGTTGACTTGTATTAGCTTCTTAAAGTTGATCATGCTGTGAATCGCTAACGCTTTTTCTACAACCTTATTGGAAGTAAACTTTGCCCTCTACTAGTTATTTAAAGACAAATTGCATAGATGTTAACCGTACCAAAAATTCAGTGATTATTTTCCTCTCGGCTTTCTGTCAGCTGTACGTTCACTTCATTGAGTAATTCATGTTCAGCCACTTTAACATTGTTCCAAAGCACACGATAACGTATGCAATCTGTGTCTGCCTGATGTAGACTAATACCTGTTTAGTCGGAACATTGTAATTCATAACGTTTTGAAAGCAAATCATGCAACCCGACCCGAGTCGGCCATAGAGAACAATTTATGTCGATTGATTTATTGAATTATCTTCATTTAATAAACAGATTTTCGTCCCAAAATGATCTGACACCAGCGTCAATAGAAATTGCAGCTATTAAGAATTTGAGCGCTACTCTCTGTTTTCAGTGACTGTTTCATTATTTGCCTTGAGGATGGCTAATTTGGTCTGGCTGAAACCACGGCAGTTTTAATCATGAGTACTATTTGTCAATTCCTTGTATCTAAAATCATTGAAGCGTTGCTTTAATTGAACAGGATGTCATTGTTATGAGTTTTATTTAGACATCACCAAGTATCAGGAGGTGCTTAGCTTAAATGACGAAGTTTGGTACGTCAGGATTGATTCACAACCGCTTAACCTCGTGATTGTTTAAAAGCATCAATTATTTGACAAATCCTACTGTTAAATCTGAACCACACTGCTTGCTTATTAAGCTGAAGATCCGTAGGATTTATGCGCTATGTCGATCGGTTGCAAACAAACACATCAGTCCATCAAGTGATGCGCAACTGCGCTGTACCCCTAACAAATGTCTTCATGTACCGACGGCCTGATCGGAGGACACCTTGGGATGACGCCATGGTGCATATCCCCTTAGCGTCAAGCATATGGCAGGAATGCTGTACCGGAGACAATATCTTCAACGAGCAGTGACGTTTTACCCTAAACATTCGAAGTACAATTGTACTGAAAAATACTTAAACGTGTATGCACTACCGTAGCAGCGAAAGGCTTGTTGAAACCATTATCTCCATGAGCTTAATTTAATTTAAGGTTTGAATCTGATACCGTGAAGGTTAAATGAACCAGACAACCCAATTAATAATTTTATTTTCACCTGTTCAGTCTAATAAAGAGCTTATACACTATTCATTCAAGAAAATTATTGTTCGGAACGTTAGAGATTAAACTAACCCGAGCGCTTGGCTTCTGTCTCCTCATTGTTCATCGCTGGAATTGCGGATACATTTAAAATAACCACATCTCAACTCAGTTACAATGGTAAGCGCTACCTGAATAAGAGTAAACATGATCCTAGGTTCAAGAAGTTCACGACAACGTTAAATGTTTGGGTTATATGCGATTATCCGCAACTTTGCTGGTTTAAAGTTGGAAGTTTACGCTTGAAATCACAGAAATATAACATTTTTCAGCACAAGGAAAAAACTTAATAAACTGGTCAAATAATTTCCGAAATCAATTACACAAAACAAAAAATACTTTTATGATTATCGTGTTACGTGAAAATATATTTCGCTGACTTTCTCCATGTCACGAAAGTGAAGTTCGCAATCGTTTTTATGGCGGTTTCCTTTAACTTTCGCAATTTTAGCCATTTGCAGTTCCCTTCATTTCATAAAGCTTATGGTGCGGGGCTGATCTCCGTTTCTCCATCCATCAGCAAGAATGACTTAAGTTTCAAAGGCAGAATCCAGTTCTGTGGCAAGCATCTCGTTTAGTTTCTGTTTTCTTCCCACGTGGTTGTGTTCATTTATGAATCTCAGAAGAAAGAAAGCGAGTAACCCGACCGAGCCCTCTCAATTCTGAGTCGACAAAGAATCCTTATTTTCAAACAATGAACGACGGGCGAAACGATTTCGTCAAGTTTTGTTAAGAGGTTATTTAATACGAACGATCGGATCATATTGTCATTCTCATTTCTCCTAGAGGTGTTTGCCTCAAAGCTATAAGAAAATCTGTCGCTCCTTGAAAATTCGAATCACAGCATAGGCGTTCTT